TCTCCATCCTGCCAGATCCTGAAGGAGGTGACAGAGCTGCTGGAGCAGGGGTACCGCATGGACCCCCCCGAGGGCTGCCCCCCTGCCATCTACACCCTGATGAAGAGCTGCTGGGAGCTGGAGCCAGGCAAGCGCCCGTCCTTCAAGAAACTCACAGAGAAGCTGCAGAAGGAGCTGAAGCACCAGAGGGATGTTTAACCCCCATCCCACCACCAGGACCCAGGACCTGACGCCCCCAGACCCACTGGGGTTGGGAGTGGCACAGCGATGGTGACCAGGAGTGGGGTGGCCTGTGGTGCAGCTCCCTCCCCATGGAGATGGGGCAGTAGCTGGGGGGTCTCTCCTCCCCTGGGGCACCCAACAATGAGGCAACAGACTCTCTCCACCCTGGCAGTGTCCTTCTTCCCACCACACAGCCCAGAGAAGGTTCCCATGGGATTGATCTCCCCTGACCCACCGGGGTGGGGAGTGCAGCCCCCGATGGGGATGTGTCCCACACCCTCTATGCTCAGCCCCATGTGGGTCCCTATGAACTGCAAATTCCAGGGATGGGGACAGGACATCTCTGCCTGCTGGAGGATGAGACCCCCAACCCCGACTCAGCCCTGCTCCAGCCCCCCGACCCTGCACGGGGAGGTCGGCACAGCCAGCTAAACCACACGGATTTGGGCTTTTTGATTAAACCAAAGAAATTAGTTCAACGGCATCTTTAAGCCTCTAGGGTGAAATTAGGCCTATCCCTCCCTCAGGGCCTGGCAAAGCCCAGCAAAAGGCTTGGGGGAGCCAGGAGCTCTGGCCCTCGGAGCCCCCCACACACCCAGCCCCTCTCCCCTCGGGGCTCTGCACAGAGGGGGATTATGCTTTTAATCAGAGGCTGCATGGGAATTGCTTGTGTATAGATTACACGTCCCTGGCTGTGGGGAGCCCCAGCCCTGCTGCTCTAAGCAATCTCTGCCTCGATGGGGATTAGTGGGGGCACAGAGCTGCCCGTGTGGGTGGCAGTGCCTCCACCACCTCGCCTGCCACCCTCCACGGGCTTTTCTGGCTGATCCTCTTGTGGCTCCTCTCTGCTGACTCCTTGCACCTCCAGCCCCTCTGTCTGGGGGCCCTGGGTGCTCCCCCCAGGATGTGGCTCTGTGGGTGCTGCTCCCCATTTCAGCCTGAGCCAGAGTCTGCTGGGGTTCAGTGTCTCCTTCCAGCTCCCCACTGCCCTGATGGGGCAGCACCTGCTGTCCCCCCACACCACCACCATCCCCTCAAGCACCCTTGGGTGCAGCAGGCAGCATGGGAAGGTCCTTCCACCCCGATGGCTGTGACTTCCCCTCCTAATGCCTTAATCCCCCCCTGATCCACAGTGTCCCTAGGGCTGGTTCCTCTGACCTTGCTGGCATAGGGACCTGGTGGGCACCGTGGGGCACAGACTGCCACAGACTGAAGAGTTGGCTCTTCATACATTTCCCAGCATGAGAGCCACTCTGTAGAGTTTCCAGGGGGCAAGAAGGAGCCATCCAAGGTCCCCCAAGGATGACAAGGTGGCCACACTGCCCAATGGCATGGCCCACAAGGAGTTTGAGGAGTACACGCAGCAGCTGCTGGAGGAGAAGTAAAGGCTTCAGCAGGGCTGGGGTGTCACTGGGGTCCCCACACACCAGGAGCAAGATCCCTCCTGCCATGGGGTGTCCCCAAGAGTGGGACAGGACAGGGAGGCAGCTGGGGCAAGGGACAGGACAGAGCATGTCCCTTCGGTGCCTCTGCCCTACAGCATGGGAGGTCCCTGTGGGTGCTGGCATGGGGCAGTGCCCCAGGATGGTGGGTGTTGGTGCCAGCCCAGCACCCTGGGAGACAAGGCACGACCAGGATGGGATTGCATTAAAGTCCCACCTCCCCAGGTCCAAGTGCTGTGAGGACCCAGTGGCTCAGCACCAAGGAGCTGAGAGGCTGCAGGAGGAGTGAGTCCCTGCAACAGGCACCTGAGCTGAGCATCTCTGCTGGGTGCTGGCGCTGGAGGGGAAGGATGTGGCCCTTGTCCCCAGGTCCCCATCACAACCTTCCTGTGGACCTCAGCCCTCCCTGCTGCCCTGGCCCTGCTGCTGCCAGAGGACCAGGATGACATCGGAGGGGCCCTGGGGA